ACCTACAAATTGTTTCTACTATGTAGTAGGGCTGAAAAAGAGATTAGATGATATTCACTTATTTATATTGTACACAACTACTTAATTACACAATATAAACAAGGTCTTGTTGTATACTCTAGAACCACAATTTCTCCTGAGGAGGGCATTTTTGTCAAAAACATAAAGAAGAGATATAAATAAAAATGAGGAGGTGTCAATAGAAAAGCCCTAAAGTATAAGTTAATAATTTAGGTTGCAATTTCGCCTATGTTCTTAAGCTTTTTTTTTTGGCATGGGCTGATTAAAAATAATATGGGTAAGAGAATTATTTGTACTTTACTGCAAAAGTTTAGTCTTCAAGATATTGATAATATCATGAAACCATCAATACAAAAAAATGTTATGTTATAAAGAAGGAACTGATATATTATTTAAACATAATTTGGTTGGATAGCATACTGTAACTATTATTTACCTGAATAACACACTTTTTACTGGTGTTAAAAATTAATAAAATTTTTAAAATATAACAATATTTATTAAATATAAATATATATTATAGAATTTTATTTCATATATATATATATATGAAATAAAAATAAATATAATTTTTATATAAAATAAAAATATATTTATATAATTATATTATTAAAATATTTTTATAAATATAATAAATATAAATATATTTAATCTATATATAATAATATTTAAATAATTATTTATATTTTATAAATAAAATAAAATTTAATAAATATATATATTTATATCTTTTTAGATAACATTTTTTATATAAATAAATTATATATATTATTTAAATATATTTTTAATATAAAATAATTGTAGTAAGTAAAAATAATATTTTTTATAAATATATGATAAATACATTTTTATTAATATAATATAAAATAATTTTAATATAAAATTATATATAAATATTTTATTATATTTTAATATATTTTTATAAATATGATAAACACAAATTTGTATTTTGTTATATACATTATAACTTTATTAAATATATTATATAATAAATATAAATATATACTTTTATATATAATAAAAATATATTGTATAATTATATGTTTAATAAATTTATATATACTTTTATAAATATATTTATATATTTATAAATATTATTTAAATATACTTATATAATATTTATATATGATAATATAATATTTATAAAAATATATTAAACATATAATATTTATATATATATTTAAATATTATTTATATATACTTATATAAATATATTTATAAAAGTATATATAAATATATTAAACATATAATTATAATATATTTTTATTATATATAAAAGTATATATTTATATTTATTATATATTATATTTAATAAAGTTATAATGTATATAACAAAATACAAATTTGTATTTATCATATTTAAAAAAATATATTAAAATATAATAAAAATATTTATATATAATTTTATATTAAAATTATTTTATATTATATTAATAAAAATGTATTTATCATATTTGTATAAAAAAATAATATTTTTATTTATAAAACTATTTTATATTAAAAATATATTTAAATAACATATATAATTTATTTATATAAAAATGTTATCTAAAAAGATATATATATATATATATATATATATTTATTAAATTTTATTATATTTATAAAAATATAAAAAATTATTTAAATATTATTATATATATAGATTAAATATATTTGTATTTACTATGTTTATAAAAATATTTTAATAATATAATTATATAAATATATTTTTATTTTATATAAAAATTATATATATTTTTATTTCATATATATATATGAAATAAAATTCTATAATATATATTTATATTTAATAAATATTGTTATATTTTAAAAATTTTATTAAATTTCAACGCTTTCAAGTAAAAGTGTGCTATTCTGGTAAATAATAGGTAAAGTATGCTATATACGTATATTTATTTCAATACTTATGCTAGATTTAAAAAAAAAAATGATTGTTTGAGTAAGGAAGTTAGGAAATAAAATATCCAAATGAAAAACAAAGTGAGGTTGAGGCTAAGATTTGTGTAAATTATGCACGTGTTTCTTTCAATTTTATTTTTATAAAATATAGAAATAATAAATTAAAATTGAAAATATATTATAACATGGACATAGGTTTACAGGTTTAACATTAAAACTTAATACTCAATATAAAATTTAATTTGATTTGATCCATATATATATTGAAAGTATATTATTAAAAATGTTTTAATCGAATTGTGTCGGTTTTACTTGATGAGTCTAACAAGCATCAAATGGTAGATTTGAATCATAGTACGACTATATTAATTAGTCGTTTTTTAATTATGTGTATAATTTTTTTTTTATACTCTTGATTTTAATGATTACTAAATATAAAATCAATTATTAAGAAATAGAACTACCAGGGATAATTCAAATCCTTAGAATAATTATATGCTCCCAAAATCGAAAAAGTAGAAGATATTTAAAACAAGGTGGAGGAAATTTGTGAACACCCTTTTCTGGTCTCAAATTCCGTGGTTCTATCAATATCTTCTCCCACTCTTTTATTTTGAATTTTATATTTTAAAATATAAAAATTGTATGCTGAAATGCTTATTCTAATGGACCAAGATATTTATAAGATGTGCCAAAAACACGCTCTTTCCATTTTCTCAAAAAAAAAACACAGAAATCCAAATCTGTTTCCATGGCTTAGAAAACTGAAAAAAGAAGAAACCAATTGAATTGAATCAAATAAACAGAGATGGTTTTGTTATTGTAATGAACTAAAATTCAAATTCTGCTTATAATAAATTGTATACAAAATTGAAAAAAATGATGCATTATTCAATAACAAATTATAGTATAATAATTTTTTTATATATTTTATAATAATTGCTTCAAATCAAAAGATATTTTATGTAATTGATGTATATGAACCTCAATTTTTTAGCAATTTGTTTGCATTTATCGAAATTTCCATTTCCTGAAAATATTTGATAATGGAAAAACTATTTGGAATTCCACAAGGTTCCCAACTCGGCATTCTTCTGATATGTTCAACTCTGGTGTGAAAAGCTTATCAGCAAAAGAGACACTGTGATTAGGGCGTGACATCCATTATCAACAAACACCATCATTGCCACCCAATAAAATCGATCATCCATTCCCAACTCACTCATTTATTCACATTTTCTGCTTTCACTTTTTCTTCTAATTATTAGTTTCATGCATCTTTCTTATTTTACTTTCCATAAAATGTGTCATTTGTGTTGTCAAAAAATTTAGTACTTTGACATTATTTATAATACATAATAATAAAATGTGGTGAACACTAATTCACTAGTCATCACTGGTACGACATAAGAGCACCACACTCCTGTCCCCTCTCTCGAAAAGAAGATTAATGATTTAATCGTTGACCAAAAGCCACGATCTGGTTTCATTTGATGTGAAGTTTAGCATACAACTGGGTAGGTATAACAATTTTAATTGATTAATTCATCTAATAAATTATCATTAGTTTAAATAGTTCATTTAGTACATTTTTTTTTTAATATTTTAATATGATCCCAAAATTTTTAAAATTTTCAATTTACACATCAATATTGAAATTGATGTCAATTTTGGACTACCGTTATTTATGTTTTGATTACGTTATATTAAATGTCTAGTTGGAGTATCAGTTCTGATGTGATTAGGTGATTGATTAAAGTTATGTGGCAGATCACGTCACATTAAAATTACATAAAGAAAGGAATAGGGGTCACAGATGTGTTTAAGATATGAATAATTGAGAGTTTAGGGTTTACGTCATAACACTTACTTTCTTCGCTTAACTCCTTCTTCGTCTCTATCTTCTCGTCGACGATGGTTGTTTATCATTGCTCCTTTCTCATCACTGTCGTTTCTTCGTCGTCGCAGGTAGTCCCTCTTGCGTACTCGACTTCACCGTCGTCGCAGACCCCCCTTCCCTTGTCGTCGGAAACAATTCGTTTCCTCGATGTTGTCATCGCAAACCCTAAATGGAACTAACCTCTTCCTCCTTTGTCACAGTCAATCTCACACATGACGGCGATTGAAACCCTAAATCCCCACTATCGTCACAAATGAAACTCCCACCTTCCCTATTGTTGCAGATCTTCTCACTTTCCCTCACCTATTTGTACAAACTCTCAATTGTTCAAACCCTAAACACATCCACGACCCTATTTTTTTCTTCTTGCAATTTTAATGTGACGTAACAAATCTATCATGTAACTATAACCAATAACTTAATCACATAACTAATACTCTAACTAGGCATCTAATATAACAAAGTAAAACATAATTCAAATTTGATATTAATTTCAATATTCATATCTAAATTAAAAATTTTAAAAATTTTGGGACCATATTAAAATATTTTAATAAATAAAATAACTAAATTAACTATTTAACCTTATTTTTAATATCACTTCCAACTCCTTCATTATTTTATATGATGTGAACATTAAAAAAAAATTAAACCATCCTTACCTGCTTCCTTTCTTAAATATAAATTAGAGCAATTAACCTTTTTCTTTTACAAACAGTTTTAAAAACATCGAGATTAAATTTACCCAATTAGCCTCACATGCTTTTATTTTAAAGTCTTCGTATTATACAATACATTTTACGATGATACTATTTATTTTAAAGTTTCCTTTTTTTTTCTTTTCCTTTGCCATATGTAGAAAAAGATACGGACAAATTATACGTATTTTCTTTGATAATAAAATAATGTCTAATTTAGTGTCAAATTGATCTTGAAATACAGTTTAATAATTAAATAATAATCTGATGAAACTTAACTTAATCATAAAACATATACTACATTGACAGTATGCGTGCTTGGGTGGACATTTTCTAAACAAGATATGGACCATTTCTTGTGTCTTTTGAAGTTTCTGGATGCGAATTTGTCACAAAAAGTGGATCCGAAACCCTAATCCAAAGTATTCAGGGACATAATTGCTCATTATCTAAAAGTTTATTAATGATCCTTGATTACATTAAGTAGACCAAGTAATAACTTCACGGTCACCATATACTACAATGGGGGTTCTAACATGAAAAGTGCCATCATCCCAAACCAGAGAAGCAGAGAGTATATCTGCATTAATACTCCCTTCAATTATGACTGAGAATGACTTCTTCTGCCCAATTGATGTGAAGGATAAAACATTTGGTTTCACTTGAATATCCAACAAAGACGGTGATACCACTTTGGCTTTATAACTAGACGTTTTCGATCCCACATTTGTAACCGTTCTATGATAAACACGACTGAAAGACGACACATTTACGTAGAGAGCAAACGATGGAAGATTGAGGTCATATACAGCTTCTTGTTTAGCATGTTTGCTGCATCTACTATGATCTTTGGTAAGAATTCGAAGCATTTTATCTGTATAACCTTCTCCACACAAGAACGTGACATAATCTGCTTCACTAATATCGTACACTAAACCAGGATTTACCGCTTTAATAGGATTAATTTGGCCCGCACCATATGCAAATTCAGCTTCAGGATTAAGAGTAGGACTCATTGGTGTAGCTGTTAATTCAGGGTGTTAAAGAGAGTCATACTTTATTGACTAATTAGAAACATATAGCAAGATAAAACGGTGAAGGAAAACTAGTTTTTCTCAAATAATTATCTTCCGAGATATCCTAAAGATGTTGAAAAAACTTTACCTGTGGTCATTAATGCAGACTTGATCATAGCAGGGGACCAATTGGGATGAAATGATTTGACATATGCAGCTGCTGCAGCTGCATGAGGGCAAGCCATCGAAGTGCCAGACTCTATGTTGTAGTGTACTGCTCTTTTGTCACCTTCAAATGTTGAAATTGGATACAATGGTGACCATGCAGCTAGAATGTTAACTCCTGGGGCAGCAACATCAGGCTACCATATCATGAAATAATACATATCAGCATTTTCAGGTTGAAGATGACAATTTCACGTGGATTTTGGATTTACCTTGAGAGTGTTTGGTGTAATTGGATTTGGACCTCTTGATGAAAACGAAACTATGAAAGGGGTTTGTGAGTCATTGTCTTCGTCACTCCTAAATATCGTGGCAGTTGAATTTCTGCTAATAGGGAAGCATATAAAGAAGTTGAAGTCAATAATGTTCTTAAAAGAAAATGTGTAATAAATAATTCTCCATATAAAGGAAAATGTTCAATCTTTGAATGAGATTAAAAAAGAGCTCAATAATATAAAGCCAGTGATCTTAGAAGAAAAGAATCAATTAAAAATAAGAACACATGATGCTATACCTCGATGAAATCATGTAAGAATGTGCGAGCTTAAAGTTCCTTAGACTAATAAAAGCCGCGGGTAGTGCATACGTGGTTTGCCCATCTTTTGCATCAGTGGCTCCAACAAGAATCCCAGCAGCCCCAGACAAAACCCCTATATCTCCAGGAGACACAATTTTGTCACATAGAACGATCTTTCCTTTCACCAAATGTTTATCCACAGTGTGGTCGATGCAAAACCTGAAAATAAAATATGAAATTCAAATCCACTTTGTTTTCTAAGAAAAAAAAAAAACGAGGAAAGTTCACGTGTGGATTCATATTCTGATACCTGGATGTGGAACTATTATATCCACCAGCAGTGTTGGGTACATCTCCAGCGTATATCAATGGAAACATTTTGTTTTTGAGATCAAAAGTGTTAATTGAAACCCCCTGTATACAATGCAGAGCCATTTATGAATGAACACTATAATTTTGATATATAAAATCAGAGTAACCAGAAGGATGGATTATTATTAAAATAAGGGTACATCAAAAACTACGCCGTTGCCCAATTGCACTTTGGTAAGGAACCTTCTGTCAATAGTGCTAGCAGCCACTGAGAGTATCCAGGGTGGATAAGTGGTCATAGAGGAAAATCTAGGACCCAAATTATTGGCTGAATTTGACGTTAATATGCCTCTCTTCATTGCATGGAAACTTCCTATATCATATGCACTTTGGAAATAGGGAAAGAACTCAATGTTATTGAACCCGGTTGAAATGGAAATTATATCAACTCCATCAGCAATTGCTTCATCAAATGCTGCAAGGGTTTCAGCCTCAGGGCAACCTATTTTGAGCCAACATGCTTTGTATATGGCAATGCGTGCTGATGGAACTCCTCCACGGGCTGTCCCTGAGGCAAAGCCTTCTAGACTTGCAGACTTAACCAAATTTCCAGCAATTGTGGATGCAGTGTGTGACCCGTGCCCTTGTGCATCTCTAGGAGATACGATATCGTCTTTGCCATAGTCACCTTCAATATTGATGTACTTAGCTCCTATTATTTTGCTGTACACAAGTGCTGACATGCTTTAGTAAAGAAGGAATATGTTCGTTTTTTTTTTAATTTTGACATTGTAAAAAAATGCATTTTTTTAGAATTACTAGTAAATCACTAGTAAGACTTACTTGTTACAAGTGAAGTTGTGGCATGATCCCTTCCATTTAGATGGTGGAGGACCAAATCCTTCGTCACTGAAACTCTTAGACTCTGGCCAAACTCCTGTGTCTATTACTCCAACGATTATGTCACTCTCTAAACTTGTTCTTTGAATTTGCTTCGAAACGCCTATGAAGTCCCACGATCTAGTTGTGTGCAGCTGATGCTTCTTATTTGGGAAAACAGAGACAACACAGTCCATTTCTGTAACAATACCATAGTATTAACACCTTGGTTTTTCTTCCTAGAACGTACAGTGAATATAGTAATGTAGTACCTGCCATTCTTTCCGCTTCCTCTTCTGTTAACTTGATGACAAATCCATTAAAGCTTTTCTTGTAACTATGAAGTATAGCTTTTGCTTCAAAGTCGCTGGATAAGTGCACATTTAGATGGTTAATCTTCTTGTTTTGGATGAGAAATATCCTAATTACATTAACTAAAAAAATCTACTTCATATTACAGTTAAGATTTATTCAATGATTAGGAGATATTTGAGAAGTATTTCCAAGACTTGTATGTATACTCTAAAGTTGCCAATCAAGATGCTTGGGTAATACTGGAACTACACCAAACATGGTTTTCATTAAGAATGTGTTTATCATGCAACCAGGATTAAACTATAGACATAAATGATAATATATTCAACCTGCCAAGGACTTTTTGTGCCATGGTCATATGAAGGGAAGGTAAGGATGTGGAGTCCATGCCCTTAGGGTGGTCACCCATGTAGACAATGTAAGTCTGTATTCAAAAAATGAAAATATTAAATCAAAGAGAGAAATTTTTAAACGCCATCATCGTTTTGGCAGCCATATATAATAAATAGAGATAAAAAACACAAGGGAAAAGTATATATGCAAGGCCTAGTAAAACATTAGAATGAAAGAATGTGCATGTATGTGCCTTCCTATCTTTCTTGGAATATGTCTGATTAATAATCAGAGTGAAGATGAGCGTGAAAAGAAGGCTAAGCCTTAAAGATATCATATTTGCGAAAGGAGCTCAAGACGAAAAGCTGGAAAGTTTTAAGGAGGAGTTGATGAATAATGTGTGTAAATGGATGTTCCAGCAAACACTATTTATGGTGGAGGAAAGTGAACTTTGCCTTTGCCTTTCAAAGTCGTTGCACAGGAGTACTTTTTTTGTAGTCTAAAACTTAAATTCCAAATCAACAATGGATATAAACTGTAGAGTGTGAAGTTCTTAATCCTACGACTAAAATTTTTATTCCATGTAATGTCAAAAAACAAATGTACCTTTCCAGAAGATAAACTACGGATGACTGGATAAGATTAATATATATATATATATATATATATATATATATACACCTACATACGCAGATGACAAGAGTTAAAGGAAATTTAAGGAAAAGTAAAGTGGAAATAGTGACTAGGTGATTGTTGCTAAAATCATTTTCAAGTTTGGCATCAAGTTGATGAGTCAGTCGTGTTGCTTGTAGTGCTTGTAGGTCAAGGGTCTATTTCATATACAGTATCACAAAACAAACATGCTACACTCTCTCATATAACATCTTTCTGTCCATATATATTTATAGAAAGATGAAGCCAATTTATTGTAAGTAGGTATATCTTTTGTTCATTATACTAAAACGTCACTTTATTTATGTTAATTATTGTGAAATAATTAAAAATTATATAATGAACTTGTTTTACATAGTTATAAAATGACACATTTTTATATCAGTTATAAATATAAAATCAATATATAGATTATATTTCATTGGTTAAAAATATAATTAAATATAGAAAGACTTTTAAAGACCTTTCGAAACCTTATTTTTCTGCGTCCCTACCCTGTGACTTCACACCCTAATTCCAGGGAATTGAGCGCAGAACGATATTGTCTTTCTTTTAGTCGTTTGAAGTGCAAACAAGATACCGACGGCTTCTCTGTCCAAGGAGCCCCGTGTGATTGGGCTGTGCAAGAACAAGCCCTACCTTCGGCCTCCGCTACTTTTGGTTCACCATTCTCTATAATAAAAGTGAAAAGTTATTTCATATGATAGTTATAATAAATATTTATTTATAGTATACTTTAATTTTTCATATCGATAAATTTTTTATTCATTGTCATTAAAAAATAATTAATTTTAGGTATGAACTAGTAAATAATTTGTATCATAATGTATGTTAATTTAAATGTAGATGAAAAATTTAATAATTTAATTAGTAATACACCCAGGTTAGATAACATATTTATAGTATTAAATACAAATATTTATTATTTCTGTATAAAAATATATTTTACCTTATAATAAATTATGAAGACTTAAAAAAAGTACAAGTAACTATTTTGTCAATTTTTTTTATTTTGTTTTAGTATCAAAGTACGCTAATATTATTTGTTTTGCTGATATAATTAATTTGTCTAATATAATCTCTTTTTATTTTTGTTAATTATGATTTTGTATTTCTTAATTTATAATTGAAATAATTGTGAATTAGAAATAATAAAACGAGTAATCCGTCCTATTTTAATTCGTTTTATCACATTAGAAATGAAAGGGTGAAACGACTGATTTATTATAACAAGGACGAATTACATACTCAACAATAACAAAATATAAATATATATAAATAATATAAAAATGAATAAAATTTATATTTTTTATATTAAAAAATCGTGTAAAGTGTTGAAAAGAGATTATTCTAGTCCACATTGGATTCGAATTCCTAAATCAACGGTATGACGCAGGCTAGCAAAATTCCACCTCACTATCCTTGCTGCTTTTTGTATGAGATTTTTCTACACTCTTTAAAGATTGAATTGAACTTCCATGACGGATCAACTTTGGGTTCACTCCATGTGATAAACTTGCTACAAAGAATTACTCTTGGTAAATTTAATTTTTAGTTTTTAAAATTAATTTCAAATATAATTCAAAAAATATATTTAATAATTTTATTTTTAAAAATTATTTTAAATGAAAAAATTTCATAAAATTAAATTTAAAAATTAATTTAAATAATTTTTAATAAGTGATTTAATATAATTATTGATAAAAACGTTTATATTTATTGATAAAAAAATAAAACATTTTATTAGACTAAAAAATAAAAGAAAAATTAAATAATATTTTAACAAATACAATTATTAAATAATTTTTTAGTTTTTAAAGTAAAAATTTGAAAATTATTTTTAAAAATAATAACAAATAAACTCTTTATTTATTATTTTCACAAATAAGAAATACTTTCTTCATGGATAAAAAGTGTCTTTGGAAAAATGCTTTTTACATTACTTTTTCCTCTCAATAAACATAAATAATCACAAAACTAATAAAGTAAGCAGCTAAAATTCCAAATAATGAGTTTTACTTATTTTATTATTATTATTATTTTCATTATTTGGTTAGCATGTTCTTGGTTAAGGTCTTGCAAATAGGAGTAGGGAGTACCTAAAAAGGGTCTTTCAAGATGAACATTAATGGTTATTAGATTATTGTCACTTACATTTCAAATGTGCTATATATATATATATATATATATATATATATATATATATATATATATATATATATATATATATATATATATATATTAACCGTGAATTAATATACATATTTAAAATAAATTTTTTAACATAGGAGTAACTTTTCTATTACATAAAAAATAGTACTGATTTTTAAGCGCTGTTTTTAATACTTTTTGTTTTGAATTCATATATTTATTTGTGATTTTGGAAACTTAGTTGAAATTTGAGACATGACTTGTTATTACAAATAAAATTTTATTGATAATAACAATAATGACATATTAAAAATAAGTATTTAAAACTAGTCAAAACATATTGAGTAAAATATCTGTATTTTTAATATTTTTTATTTTAATTTATTAAAATTTACTATAAGTATTAATTTTAAAATATAAATATATTTTTGTAATTATAAATTATTACAGAGAAACAAATAAGATAAAATTTCAAAAAGACTTTTAAAAAAATGTATAATTAAGAAAATTAAAAAATAATATATTTTATATTAGAAAAAAATGTATGTATTTTATTTTAATTAGTTAAAATTTATTGTATATGTTAATTTAAAAAAAATATTTTTTAAAATTATGAATTATTAGAGAAATAATATAAGATAGAGTTTATAAAGGGAAAATAAAAAAAGTGTTATTATTTTATATTTGAAAAAAATTGATTAAAAATAAAAATAAAATAAAATATATTTATATTTTTTGTGATTTGACCAAAATAGATCAAAAGGACAAAATATGAGAGCGAATACATCAAATGCTGTCGACAAATATATTGGAGCATTTTATTTATTTATTTTTTACTGTTTTGATAATTAGATTGAATAACTTAATCGAAAATTGGATTAGAAATTGATTTATTGTTTTTAAATAACCAAATTTTATTCAAATTAGAATAAAACTAAAAAAACGAACTAGATTTTTTAGTCAAACAAATTTTAATAAAAATTTAAAATTTAAAAAGTATTATTATTTTTTAGAAATTATTATTAATAAATTTATTATATTATAAAAATATTATTTTATTAATCTTCATTTAAATTTTTAAATATAAATTCATATATTTAAAGTTTAATAATTGAATCATAATAATAAAAATAAAAAATAATTTTTTAAATTTATTTACTTTCCTCCTTTCGGTTTTTTTTTTGTATTTTGTTTTTTTAAGTTAAGGAGGATACATCACACAAAATTATTTCATGGTCATTCTTTACACTGGTAAAATTTCAAGCTTGTTCTTCGTCTTTTCTCCTGATATCGTTTTTATTTTAAGAAAAGTTACTTTTTAAAAGTTTTGAATGGGTTTGTTTATGATTAAAAACATTTTTACTATCACTTTGAGTAGTTGGTTTGACTAGTTTCTGAAATAAATTATTGGTATCCTTTATAATGGAAAGTAGTTTGATATTTGTAATGATAGATGTATCACCACCTCTTCAAAATTATGTTCCCCATTTCACCTCGTGACAAAAAAGTAAAAGTTAAAGATTTCTTATTCAATCCTTTATTTCAGCCAAACCAAAACAACAAATCTCAAGTTTTGGCTTTTTATTTGTCCTATACCAAACGTTTTTACGCACGTCATAGGCTTGGCCGCCGCTTGGATTACCGCTCCACACAGGTTACATGCAAGGAAAAAATCTGTGACTTATATAGTTTTATATATTTTATTTTTTTTTTAAATTATTTTGATATAAATATATCAATAATTTTTTTCTTTTATGTTTAAAAATATAAATTAAATTATGAATTTTTTTTTATTTTACTCAAGAGACTCCCCTCGGGACAATCTATTCACACATGTCATGTCTGCTTTCTGTCAAAAGGAAAAATAATTGAGAATTAAGATTAAGACTATCAACAGTGATATTGGCCTATCATGAACTAAAGTTAATTTCATCCTTTGTCCTTTATCTATCATTGCTTTTACAAAAACCCAAGTTTCTTTCTGTGATCCCACCATAAGAGTCTATATATTTTAAAAAGCATTTTTTTTTATAAATATAATGATTGAACAAAAGAAATCTTATTGCTTCTATTGTGCATTGTTTATAATTCCATTGAAATATAAAAATAGTGCATTCCTGTTAATGTTAATCACTCCATTGCTTCTATTTTTTTATTGTCTATAATTATAAATTAATCATCTTATATCCAACCAATTTCGTTTATTTCAATCATAATAAAATGCATAATATTTCATGTTTTAATTAAATAATAATTGTAAAAGACACGTTTGGTAGGATTTTTAGTTTTAAGTTGTTACACATAATTCATCACACATTTTAGCAATTGATATTATCATAACTCAATCTTATAACTAGATTAAAACATTAAATAAAAAACATATTAACTTATAAATATTTGATATTTTTTAATTAGATGGATATTTATTTATTATAATAAAATAATTTTAAATTAATTATTTACGTCATTGTAAATAAAATTATTTATTATCATAATAATTTAAAATAATTAGTTAATAATTTTTTAGTTTTAAAATTATTTTTAAAATAATTATTTTAATATAATAATTTAATTAAAAAATAAATGGGAGAAGAAAAATAATATAAGAATACTAAATTAGTCTGACTAAGTAAATATTACTGTTAAAAATATTATATAAATCACCAGTAATATTATTTTAAAATTTGTTAGTGTTTTTCAAATACTGTATTATAATATTGTTAAATGGTATATTTAAAATAAAATTTAAATTTTAAAGTAAATATTATATATTTATCTTTTAAAAATAATTTCACCGATATATATATATATATATATATATATATATATATTAGATAAAAAAGATAGTGATATTTTGATAATTCAATTTATATATATAATTAATTGGTAATCTTTTTATAATAATATAAAATATAAAATATAAATATGATACAAATTGTTGTTATTATTATAAGAAAATGAAGAAATAATTATAAAAAAATGTTAATTATAAGAATATTTTATTATCATGTAACAACTCTCCTCTTTGGATATAATAAAAGAGGGATGATGATCATATTAACCTAATTATTATTATTATTATTATTATTATTATTATTATTATTAGAACCAGCGCTTCAGTTATCAATTCTTCGTTTCTGATTAGAAAAGTAAGCATCCACCACAGTTGATCCGACAGTGGAGGGGACGTTTGCAGCATGGCCTAAATAAAGTATGCTCGGTGGTATTCAATTTTTGGTAAAACTATCTCTTTAAAAATGTTTCAGATATCTTTTCCCATTCTAAGTAATTCGGTATAATGGGTTGATAATAGATGATTTAGTCTCTGTTAACAAATAATATACATGTTTAAAGTTGAATATGATATTATTTTAAAAATGAAGAGATATTTAATTCAATTTTAGAAATTAGATTAATATTTATAATTATTATTGAAAACACATTTTCTCCCGTAAAATTTATTAGAATATTTTTGATCAATAATGAAATAATAATAATTTTTTTTGGACAATAATCGAAAAGAATTTTGATTTCAACCTGATATTATATTAAAATAAAATGAATTTGTAATAGGAAGAATAACCTCACAAATATGGAATTTCCTACACACCCTCTTACTGGATATGTTCACAAATCTCGTCTGATAATATTAATATTGTGATAATATTGTGTTATGCTACTCTGTTTAGGAATGAGTTAATCACGTGGTTCACTTTCTTTCACCATAAATACTCTTGGGTGAACGGCCATACAGACACATTTAATTCACCCATTTTGATCTCATATAGGAGTAGCAATATGGTCTCTTTAAGGCCATGCCTTCTTTTCATTCTTCTCTGCATTGCGATAATTAAACATGCACATTCCAACAACGATAGGAAGGCAAATACTCAATATATCTTCTTCTTTCAGTATCTATCTACTTTATTAGGACGATAATGGTGCTTAAATTTCAATTCCTCCTTTCATTGAATATGTGATTTTCTCCACACAGACTTACATTGTCTACATGGGTGATCATCCTAAGGGCTTGGACTTAACTTCCGCACCTTCTCGTCATACCACCATGGCTCAAGAAGTCCTGGGCAGGTTCAACATATATGTGTCTATTTTCTAGTAACTCCTGCTCTCATAATTTCAAGCATCAACAAGGAATTTCTGTTAGAACCTTGATTCACAAGTTCTGAAAATAGCACAATTTAAATATCTTTGTTACTGAATTAAGTAACTTCACTGCAGTAACAGAATAGAGTAAGGTTAACTATATATCTAAACGTGCTTGTTTCCAGCGATTTCAAACCCGAAGCTGTACTTCACAGCTACAAGAACTTTAATGCATTCGTCATAAAGTTAACGGAAGAGGAGGCTAAAAGAATGGCAGGTGCTATATAATATCCTTTCTACAACTCTATAATTCTTGATCATGCATTATATTATATAAAGGATAGTGTTACTTTGGAATTGCGACAGAAGTGGAGAACGTTATCTCTGTTTTTCCAAACACCAAGAATCGTCTTCACACAACGAGGTCGTGGAATTTCTTGGGGCTTCCCCAGAATGCGAATAGAGCAACCACAGAGAGTGACATAATTGTGGGAGTAATAGACACTGGTGTTTGGCCAGAGTCTGAGAGCTTCAGTGACAAAGGTTTTGGTCCTCCACCAACCAAGTGGAAAGGATCATGTCACAACTTTACCTGCAACAAGTAATAATTTATTTTATAGACTTACTTTATTTTTCTTCTCATTCTCTATTATATTCTTTATCACATATTGTTTTCTTTCTATTTCACTTTATTTATATTTTCTCCCAACCTCTATATAAATATCTAAATAAGGTGTACTTTAAACATTCCTCTTTCATTTGTGCAAGTCAATCGTAGTTGAGATTAAAAAAAATGTTTAAATAGATATAACTTAAAAAGTTTAAAATTTCAGTCTAGTCTACTACTTGTCATAATGTTCTTTTAGGTCTAGTTTAATTGTTTGAAAACGTGGGTTGAAAAAGTAGATACTTTATCAAAGTCAGGCAATCATTTTATGCAGCAAAATAATTGGCGCAAAGTACTTTAATCTGGAGCATGAGTATGCCAAAGATGATATAGCATCTCCTAGAGATGCAGAAGGTCATGGATCACATTGTGCGTCCACAGTTGCTGGAAACTCGGTGAACTCAGCAAGTGTATTTGGCTTAGCCTCAGGGACTGCCCGCGGAGGAGTTCCATCTGCCCGAATTGCTGTGTACAAAACATGTTGGAAGGCAGGATGTAGCGATTCTGACACCCTTCTAGCATTTGATGAAGCTATTAGTGATGGAGTAGACGTCATTTCTATTTCAACTGGATCAAGCCGCCTAGTCCATTTTCCGTATTTTAAAGATTCAAATAATATAGGAAGTTTTCATGCCATGAAAAAGGGGATACTAACCTCAAATGCTGGCAATAATTTGGGTCCCCATCTTTCCTCAATGACAAATTATCCTCCATGGTTACTTTCTGTGGCTGCTAGCTCTTTTGACAGAAAGATTGTCACCAAGGTCAAGTTGGGCAATGGGGAGGTTTATGAGGTATCATTTCTGTAAATTCATCTTTACTTCAAATATTCAAATAAAGGCTAAGTTTAATGGATGATGGTGCCTATTTATTTGTGCAGGGGGTTTCAATTAACACATTTGATCTTGAGAGAAAACAGTATCCACTCGTATTCGGTGCGGATATACCTGACATTGCTGGTGGACATAACAGCTCCACATCCAGGTCCCCGCCAATGAAATTCTATGATATTTTTTGTTAAACAAGAAAACTGAAAGTATTGGACTTCAATTTGATACGTTATGTATTGCTTAGGTATTGCAAAAAGGACTCTTTGGATAAACATTCAGTGAAGGGAAAGATTGTTGTGTGTGAAAGCATTCAGAATCCTAAAGACGTAGGGTTTTTATTTGGGGCAGTTGGTATTATATTTGGAAATAATTACCCTAAAGATTTGACTGGAGCATTTGCCTTGCCTGTTGTGGAGGTTACTCGATGGGATCAAAGACTCATACATTCTTATATAGCTTCAGCCAGGTATATATAAATCCATATTTTATTCTCGTTCTTTATGAAAGATAGATTTAAGACAACCCCAGCCAGCAAGATGAAGGACTCTCACCAACATAAAAGCTCAACCTCCTTTATCTTTTTGAGATGAAGTAAATGTATCGTGACCATACTATATTTGTTACTAACCTCATGTCAGCCACACACACCTTTGATATTTATCCGATTTTATCTTTATTAAATTAAAATATATTTATTATCCTTACATCAATTATTATATTTAATTTGAGATATTATTCATTTTTAAATTTTTGACAATTTTATTTTTTAAAAATTATTTGATAGTCTAAAAAAAAATAATGTATATAATTTATTTTTACCCTCGATCCTCATTCCATACAAAATCTTTATCAATTTCTCAGTTGGTGGAGCCTCTCTTAACATTTTCCAATTCTATCACTTATTAATCCTTCCTAATTTTTTTTTCAAGAAAAAATTTAACCTTACTTGTAATATGTGTTTAGATGTTAATAGAAATAAATAAATAAATATAATGTAAAGGATTTTGGATTCAAAGTAATAAGAAAACGTATAAAAAGTGAAAAAAGTTTCTCCCTATGGATTAGAAAAAAAAAAAACATTATTATATACATAACATTTTAAGTGTTATACTATAATAAAACAAAACTCTAAATATAAGAACATTTTTGTCGTTACAATAAAAGTTGAAGGATATTTGCCAATGTTTCACAAAATATTTTTAACGCTAACAATAACCCTTTTTTCCCTGTATGTTGCTGGTTCTAAACCAGAGACAACACATTGAAAATCAAATTTTCCTTCTTTCTTTTCTTTTTTAGGTTGTGCTACCGTACGACATATTATATCAGAGATGCGTCAGAAATACAAAATAGTATTGATTGAAAAATCAAATTTTGATTTACTAAAATTTAAAATATATTAAATTCAACCTTTTCTAATTTATTGTTCTACCAATTACTAGAAATGCAACAGCCACAATATTTAAGAGTGAAGAAGTAAACGATGGACTAATCCCTTTTATAGCTTCATTCTCATCAAGAGGTCCAAATCCAATCACACCAAATACTCTGAAGGTAACCTTACACATTGTATGCTATATAAAATCTACATCAATTTATCATTTCATTCCATCAAATTCTCTTTAGAATTAATTATTGAAATTGCAGCCCGACATCGCTGCCCCGGGAGTTGAAGTTATAGCTGCATGGTCTCCAATTGAGCCAATTTCAGGTGTTAAAGGTGACAAAAGAAGAGTAGAATATAATGTAATCTCAGGCACTTCAATGGCATGCCCTCATGCTAGTGCAGCAGCTGCATATGTCAAATCATTTCACCCCAGTTGGTCTCCTGCCATGATCAAGTCTGCTTTGATGACCACTGGTAATGGCTACTAATAATATGTGCCTTTCATTGTATTTGACAAAACAAAAAAACTTAATTATAAGTGTACGACTTTCTTCACCTTCCCTTATTGTTATCTCATCTAATTAGTTAGCAAAATTTCACCATTTCTTTTGCGCTCTCCTCACAGCTACTCCAATGAGTCGTATTCTTAATCCTGAAGCTGAATTTGCATATGGAGCTGGGCTTATTAATCCTGTTAAGGCAGCAAATCCTGGTTTAGTGTATGATATTAGTGAAGCAGATTATATAAAGTTCTTGTGTGGAGAAGGGTATACAGATAAAGAGCTTCGATTCCTAACTGCTGATCATAGTGGATGCAAAGGAAAAGCTAATAAGAAAGCCGTATATGAATTAAACCTTCCATCGTTTTCTCTTTTCGTAAATGGCTCGGATTTTAGTGGTGCTTATCGAAGAACGGTAACAAATGTGGGATCAAACACTTCTACATATAAAGCCAGAGTAATTGCTCCATCTTTGTTAGATATTCAAGTGAAACCCAGTACTCTTTCCTTCACATCTATAGGGCGGAAAAAGTCATTTTACGTCATAATTGAAGGCAGAATTAATGTGGAAATAATCTCTGCTTCTTTGATGTGGGATGATGGCAGTCATCAAGTTACAAGCCCAATAGTAGTATGGGGGAGTGTCTGATGCTTGATCGATCTTGAGAAACAAGATAAAATAAATGGAAATGAAAGTCGAATCAAGTTTGTAAGTCTATAAAAAATGAATGCAAATAAGCTCAATACCTTGAGCCTTTCATCAAATATTTGACTGATCAAAGTTTCAATTTTGGCTCAATTTTTTTTCTGTTGAACGACGCTTTTGAATGAAAATTTTAGTAGACAAGCTCCGTTGTACAGATTATGATTTTTAATTCGTAATCTGTGACTACCTTTTACTGCCATAATTTAATTTTATAATTTAAATTTAAATTTAACTTTTTACAGTTTAAAACTGCCATTTTTTTAAATGTGAAAGCCAAATCCGCCGACATCAACCAGTCTTTCTTCTTCAATTTCTATAAATTCCTAGACTTTCTGAACTTGTTTCAAATTAAATGATGAAAATCAGTACGGTATATATATATATATATATATATATATATATATATATATATATATATATATAGGTCTTCAATTTCAACGAATCAATTAAAATAAAACTTATTTTTTTCTGCCTTTAATCTTTATCTCATCTTACTAGTTGCTTTCATTTGAAATTTTATAATTTACTTAGAATCGTGCTAGATAGTGGGATCGGAACAGTCGGTCGAATCATGGGATTAGTTTTCGCGACAACACCAAAACTAAAGAGACTAAAATGATATGCGAGTCCAGTGTTAGTGATGATTGTTTATATTTTATTGATACAACTGCAATGAAAAAAAGTTTTTATTTCCATCACATATACATATATCTCATACTCATACAAGCTATACTTATCCATGTTTATTCAAATTTATCTAGTGATTGACATTAGAACGTCAATTCATTAGCTGGGCATGCACTTGCACGATTGATCTCGATCTTGTAGGAGCGTCACGCCCTGATAAAGAAACAAAGTTAGTAATAGTATTCATAATAGAAAAAGATTAAGACATTGAAGGAGATACAGGTGATTAAGTGGTTCATTAAGTACTTGGAGTAATCAATTAGAATTTTTCCAGCATTGAGGACAGCGATTGCAGAGAAAGCTTCTTGGGAGAGATCAATGGTGGCTTGGCAACCTGGGGAAGGGCAACGATCGACAATCTTGACCGTAACACTGCCACCCTTGCATGGGTGAGGCACACCTTGGTTAGTACCACCTGTGCATTTGATCTTATACATTTGACCACACGCAGCTCCATTCGCATATAATGCGTCGCTTGCAGCAGCTATCATCGTTCCCTCATCTTGGTACCCGTAGCATGCAGATGCTGCCAAAGTAAAGTCTCAATATTAAATTTATTTCTTGATAGTTATACTTATACACAAGTTCATGGTTAAGATGCATTTTATACGATAGTATAATGAAGAAATTCAACAGAAAAATAACGTATAGTTGCTACATACGTTTGTAAACTGTGTAATAAGTAGCAGTTCCAGAAATAGCAGATGTAACTGAGATAAGGCTTATGAAGACAAGCCCCGTCACAAACACCATATTCATGCCCAGATTACAGAATTAATTGTAGTATTTAGTAACGTTGACTTCGATCTTTTCCCAAGTAGTTTGAGATTGTGTTCTGCATCAAATGGGATGGGATCAGTACCCTTTTTATAGGCAACCTCTTATCTAACAATTTAGATATAATTTAAATATTCATTTTTAAGAGAAGAAACGTGTTGTATTTTGATTTATTTTAATATAAATCAAACTTTTAATAATACCAACTTTTTTGCAGTAGTTATATATATATATATATATATATATATATATATATATATATATATTTATAATTTTCAACTGTTAGTAACGGTCAATTATAATTACACATTTAATTAAAAGTAATTTTAAGATTTCAGAAGTTAAAGCATCAAAACTAAATAATAATTATAACACTTAAAAAGAGAGAGTGAAAATAACTGTATCGGGAAATGAGGAAAAAGATTTTTTCTTTTATAACAGTTACCAGTGATAAAATAGATTTAATTTAATGAGGTTGACCCGTTAGTGATATATTACGTTAAAAAAAAAAAAAACTTGTGATATTAAAATTCCTCTCCATATCAAATTTAAGGGAAACAAATTTAGTTGACAAGGGCTTATTCGAATTTTTCTCTCTTTAAAAAGTCAGAGGGAATTTAAATTTAAATTTTAAGATATTAATATTTAAAAAAATATTTTTTTATTATCATTTTTTTTATATTTCATAATTTTTATTTTTTTCTATTTACTTTTTAATTTTTTATCTATTTTAATCTTTTATATCAATTAGTTTATTATATTATTCTCTCTTATATTTTTCAATTTTTCACATCTCCTTAATCTCTCTAATCAATTTGTTTTTTTTTTCAATCTTTTAAACCAATTTAATGAATACAAAGTTAATTTCTTTTTCTCCTTTATCTTTTTATAAACATTTTACATAAATTTTAGTAATAACTAATATTATTTTATATATAATTTATATTTATTAGGTTTTATTAAATCATATTTTTTTATCTTATTAAATTCGTGATATATCAAATTTTATTTTAATAAAATAATTATATTTTAAAGAATTAAAAAAAATTAATAATTTAAATTTTTATAACTTCAAACTAATTAAATAAGAAATAATTTATTAAATATTTCTTTATAAATTATATATTTTATATTTTTAAATAATAATTTAAAAATAAATTAACTTATATACATAATCAAATATTTGAGTGCATAATAATAATTCAAATATTTAATACAATATAATAATAAAAAATATTCTATATATATAAATAAAAAATATTTATTTTACATATATATTTTAATATAAATATAATAAATTAAAATATATATTTAATTAATAATAATTGTAAATTGTAAATATTTATTTATATATAGTAAAATTAATTTATTATAAATATAATTATTTTAAAAAAATATAAATCAGAGACAAGAAGAGAACGAAAAAACTTGAAATTCAATTAGGACGAGAATAAAAATTTAATTTTTAACCTCGACAAGGATTGAAGTGGGGATTGAAAGACAAAACTCGTCCGGTCGCAGCAGTTGCCATGTCTAAAATAATAATTATATTTTAAATAAAAAATATATTATTTTATTATATATATATATATATATATATTATAAATTATTTTGATAAGTTTTAAAGTCAATACAGAAATTAAAAACTGATTAATTGTGATGCTGAAAGCTGTGGAAAATAATGGGTCGTTAAAATTATATCCACTATGAAATATCTAGAATAAAATATAGTAAATATTAATTTGTAAAAGGAGATGTGTTTTTTTAATTAAACATATATGTAAACATCTCTTAAAAATGAAAAATAATGACTCTATCAGATTACATCATTCCTTTTCTTTTTTCAATTACTTTAGCAGTGTACTCTCCGCCAGACTCTTATTTTAGAGTACACGTTCCTTAATAAAATAGCCATCGTTCCGAGGACTAGAATTTTTCTGACATAAGCAAGAAAACTGAAAATTCATAACTTAATTAAAGTTGAATGTTATAAAAAATAAATTTTAATTGAAATTAAAATTATTATTATACTTGTTTTTTAAACAAAATAAGCGGTCCATGAAGTTTAAATATAACATTCAATACAATGTTGTCTAAATTTTCTAATACCAGGTTGACCGAAACGAGTTAAATTAATATATTAATGACATATATTTAATACAATTAGTTAATAATATAAACAGGAAAAAAAAGTTTGTATTTATATAAGTTCAATATGTAGGGAGTATTTGATGGAGAACTTGAACATAACATTCAGAAGGTTAAATTCTAATGTTTAACATGAAAACATTTATCGGAATCATAACATTTTTTTTTTCTTCTTCTAATAATAAGTTTTTCTCGTAAAAGAGACGAGAATTCAAGCTTTTCATGAAAAAAAAAAAAAGCTTTTTATGATATAACTGTTTCTGGTGGAATTTCGATCGATTTCGATTCTAAGGGTGTTTTGGTCCTAATCAAAATTCTACCGCGTAAGTTCTTTTTACTTAGAGCTAGCAATTTGATTTTCAATCGAAAACGCGTATGAGAATTGAAAACTACGAGGATATCGAAAATGTGGTTTTTGGTATTTTATGTCTAAAATGCTTGACTCAAACAAAACGATAAAGTATCGAATCGAGCAAAGAGAATATTAAATTGCAAGAAAGTGCGAAAACCCCGAATTTGCAAGAAATTAAGTTTGCGAGATAAATAAAGGACAGGAAATCGAAATGTGCGGGAAATGTAAATTGCTAAAACCCATTAAAATTGCACGAGAAAGTAAATAACAGGAAATCGTAAATGTGAGCAATACGTAACTGAACGAGTACGCCTACATA